CCCCCCCCCCCCCTTGATTTAAATCCAATACTCTCCTGTAAGAGACCCACTGGGTAATCGTCGTTACCCACACACACTTCCTTCCACAAAAAAGCGCCTTCCAAGGCCACCACTTCTACGTCATAACCGATACGTCCATCCGTGGATTCACGGAGTCTGCGAACACGCGCGTTCCCGGTTCCCGTCACTTCCCTTCGCGGCACGGTGGTAGCGCAGGAGCTCCACAACCGCCTTGGAGGCCAAGGTCAGGGGGAGCGGACTCAGAAGGCGGGGCTGCCTGCGGACAGCCACCACGGGCAGCCACCACGGACAGGCAGGCTAGAGGCCAGGATGCCGGGGCTCGGGGCCCGCATCAGACTCACGGGGGGACGCACGGGGATGCGCGGAGAGACGGCAGGACGGGAGGCTCGTGGCGCGCACTGCGCACGGGAGACAGCTCTGCGGTGCCCGCACGGCATGTGACCCGGCCCTGGGCCACCGCAGCGTGCACGCCGGGCACGGTGAAGACACGCGAGAGACGGCTACAAGCGATGGATTGAGCACAGAGTGTTTGCGTTTTGGGTGTCAGAAACAAAACCGGCCCCAAAGTTCCGTTCTACTGCATGACAAATACTGAAGCACACAATTTTAGTCTTAAAATACATCTGAACGTCAGTATTTTCCTTCAAGGAAAAAAAAAAAAAAGTACTATAAATAAATTACAATACAGTGAATTTGCCTGAACTCACTTTGTTTCTGTCTTCCAGCCTTTAAGTCAAATAAAACAGCGTAAAAACTGTACACTCTTAACATGATAGTTGATCTTTTATAAAATAACCTGTCTTCAGAGATGTCAATTTCACAACGAGGGAAAGCCAAGCCCTGTTGCCGTCACTATTATAAAATATATATGTATAGATATAGATGTGGGGTTTTTTTTTTTTTTACAAAAGGTGTATATTAATAGCTTTGCACAAATATTTTAAAGACAAATGTAGCTAGCCTAAGAACTTCATGAAAATAAAACAGGCAGATAAATACTTCATGTGTACAAAGCACTGTATCAAACATCGTCGGCAGGCAGAGGAGGTATGTTAATCCTTGGTCTTGTGAAAAATGCTATCTTCTCCCTGGGATTGGAAAGAATGACAGGTTAGAAGCAGATATACGTGCGATGAAAGCTGATGGGAGGCTCTCGTATCAATGATGGCCTTTCTTATGCATACAAAAAAAATGAATTTAAATTCCTAACAACACATCTGTTTGTATACAGACTCTCCAAATGCTGATGGAAGTTATGAAGCCCCATGAGGACAAGGGTTTGTTCCCGGTGCCTAGAACGGTGCCTGGCCTATGGCAGGTGCTCTGTAAATATCTGCTTTATTAACAAATGAATCTCTCTACAAATGAAGGAGTTCTAAATCATGATGGAGGGAGGGCGGTGATAGTGTTTTATGTTCTTTTATGATGGCGACATGAAAATTCAGCGTATAAAAACATTAAGGCTAAAAGGCACAGATCATTCAGCCATAAAAAGGAATGAAGCACTGACACGAGCTACATAGACATACGTGAACTTCAAAGACATTATCCTAAGTAAAAGCGGCCACGCACAAAGGTCACATACCGTATGAGGCCACTTCCACGTAACATCCAGAACTGGCAAAGCCAGAGGGCCCAAAAGCAGCCTGGGGGTGCCAGGGGCCGCAGGGGGCAGGAGGGGAACGGGCAGTGGCTGCTTAACGGGGACGGGGTTTCCTTCTGGGGCGAAGGAAAGGTTCTGGAACTGGACGGTGGGGACGGCCACACAACACGGTGACTGTACGGAATGTCACGGAGTTGCCCGTTTTAAAACGGTGACTGTTATGTGTTGTGAATTTCACCTCAATCTTTTAAAAAGTCAGACACAGGGGCGCCTGGGTGGCGCAGTCGGTTAAGCGTCCAGCTTCAGCCAGGTCACGATCTCGCGGTCCGTGAGTTCGAGCCCCGCATCGGGCTCTGGGCTGATGGCTCAGAGCCTGGAGCCTGTTTCCGATTCTGTGTCTCCCTCTCTCTCTGCCCCTCCCCCGTTCATGCTCTGTCTCTCTCTGTCCCAAAAATAAATAAACGTTGAAAAAAAAAAAATTAAAAAAATAAATAAATAAAAATAAAAAAATAAATAAATAAAAAGTCAGACACAAAAGAATATGGACATAACTAATTCGCCTCCTACGAAAAGCAAAAACAGAAAACTGACGTATGCAATTCAAATCGGGAGGGTGCTGATAATGTTTGATTCTTGCCGTGTGGCATTGTGACAACCCACCGGACCAGTTTACACATACAAAATGCACCCGTCCCTGTATGTATACTATGCTTCGATAAAAAGTTAAGTGAAGAGGCACAGGTGATACGTGTGTATATGTATGTAAACCACCGTCTCGTTCACGATAGCAAATATTTGGAAAGGTTGTAAAATAGAGTAGTTGGGCAAATTCTATCTTACATGAAACATGACAGCCAGAAAGGCTAACAGGTTATGTGGCAACCCAGGATATTTTCATTAAAAGACAAAAAACGAAACGCAAACGGGAACCCACATTATGACTGCCAGCAGCAGGAACCCAGTTTCTAGACACAGAGGAGCAGAAAACACCAAGATGCTGACAGCAGTGGGGATTCCGGGTTTGTTCGGAACTGCCCGGTGGGGTTTTGTAACGCTTATGCTTGTGGTGACGACGAAGGTGTGACAGTGCAAAGAACACAAGGAAGCGGGGCCGTGGCGCCTCTACCTGAAGGTCTGCACCTGGACGGGCTCTTTGTGGTTCTGCCCTCGCAGCTGGCAGACCCCCTTGGAGGCCTTCCTCAGCATCTTCTCAGCTGCCTGTTCTTGATGGAAGTCAAGTTTGGTCTGTCTCGTCTGGAAGAGCAGCGTGGGACGAACAAGGCGTCGTTGCTAAGCCGCTCCCAGCCGCCGGGTCGCGGAGGGGAGAAAGGCCTGCCCCATCCACATCCCCCCCAACAGGGAATCTTCACAGAGGCCTACTGGGGTCCCCGGGGGGTCATGCCTTGCAGACACCCGACACCGAATGTTCCACCGCAGAGCGGGGACTGGCGACGCCAGCCGGAGGGTCCTGGGGTCCCTCCCTCCCGCGCCCCCCCGCCCCCCCCCCCCACCCCCGACCCGAGGCGGCTGCAAAAGACGTGCGTCGGCGCCACCGGGGACACCGGCTGCCTGGCCCACGGGGGGAAGGGACCCAGCTCCTTCACACGAGCACCCGGATGGTTTCAAGTACAGCTTCGTCAGCGCGACCGGGCAGGCCCAGGACGCCAAGGGGCCGGCGAGGCGGGCGCCGGCTTCCTACCTGCCTCTCGGCTTCCTTTAGCAGGCTCCGGAACCGCTCGTCGCGCAGCACCCAGTGCGGGAGGTCGGTCTGGCCTCGGAGCTGCGCATCCTCCAACCGCTGCCTCAGCTCACGCAGGGCACAGATCTCCTCGTTCAGCTGCCGCTGCCGCGTTCTCGAGGCCTGGAGATCCAGCTCCAGGTCCAGGGACGTGCGGGCCATGAGCTCGGCCAGGGAGGCCCTGCAGGGCTGCGGGAGGCGGCGGCTGTGAGTGCGTGTGCCGACGGTTGGGGGGGGGGGGGAGGCAGGGGCCGCGGCGAGCCCGGACCCCCTCGCCCCCCGCCAGGTTCTGCCACGCGGCACGTGGGCAGGGGAGGCGCGGCTGCCGCACAGGTCGGGGGAGGGGGGCGTATGCCCACGTGTGGCCGATGTCAAATGAACCACAGGCGTGGGCGAGGCTAAGTCTCCAGTATCAAGTCACTGACGCAGGTAGCCCGTCTCCCGAGGCCCCACACATTTGCGAAAGCGTGAAGAAACAGAGCCGCTCAGACGGAGCTGCCGGGATCGGGGAGGGGGGGGGGGGTATGATCTTTCTGAGGTTCTGCCTGACAACATACATCAAGCCCCAAAACGTGCATTTTCTTTGGTTACGAAATTTCATTTCGACTTGCACTTAAAAGGCCCAACTCAGGGCGCCTGGGTGGCTCGGTCGGTTAAGTGCCCGACGCTTGGTTTTGGCTCAGGGCATGATCTCGCGGTTCCTGAGTGCGAGCCCCGCATCGGGCTCTGCGGACCGTGCGGAGCCTGCTCAGGATTCTCTCTCTCCGTCTCTCCCCAACTCGCACATGAGCTCGCTTTCTCTCTCTCTCTCTCTTTCCCTCCCCCTGCTCATGCTCTCTTGCTCTGTAATAAATAAATATTTCAAAAAACAAATAAATAAAAGGCACGACTCATGACATGTAAATGTAATCAAAAGTAATCCAATTAAAGTTTATGACCGAGGGGCACCTGGCTGGCTCAGTTGGTAGGGCGTGGGACTCTCGATCGAGGGATTTTGAACTCGAGTCCCGTGTTCAGTAGAGAGATTGCTCAAAAATAAAAAAGTCTTAAAAAATAAGTTTATGACAGGGGGCGGCTGGGTGGCTCAGTCAGTTAAACGTCCGACTCTTGATTTCGGCTCAGGACACGATCTCACGGTTCGGGAGTTTGAGCCCCAGTGCAGAACCTGCTTAAGATTCTTTCTCTCTCCTTCTTGCTCTGCCACTCCCGCCCCCGCTCACACTCTCTCGCTCTCTCTCTCTCTCTCTCTCTCTCTCTCAAAATAAATAAACGTTAAAAAATAAAGTTTATGACTGACCAAACCTAAAAACAAGAGAAAACGGATTAAGTAAATTACAAGGGCAGCAGAAAACACAGCCACTGTAAAAAGTTGAAAAAATATACTGGACAATCTTAAATGATCCATGCTAAAAGATTGCACAGGCACACACGCAAGCTGTCAAAACCCTCCCTCCCCGTAGAAGCCTCAAGTAAGCAAACCCGCCACGTTTAAGAAAAGTCCTGAGATGAAAAGCGAACTTTGTGTATGGAGTGGAGGGCGGTACTTCCCGCTCAATGGGAAGCAACCTCAGGAACGGCACTCACTGTAGCACACATCAGTGGGCATCGTTCAGTGGACTGAGGAACTGTATGCTTTCTACAGCCACGTACACTATGGTGCGCACGTACAGCATGCACGCACACGTACATTTAATGCAAATACACGACGTGACTTAACAAACGCAGCTTCATTTAAAAGCACTGCTGAATTCGCGGTAGAGCTCGGTTGGTTCTCCGCAGCGTCCGGAGGCATCCTGGGTCATCACGGCTTGAGGGGAGGGCGGGTGCCACCGGCTGCTAGCGGATCGAGGCCAGGGAGGCAGCTCACCGGCCGCCAGCGCCCAGGGCGGCCCCCACAGCGATGACCCGGTCAAACTGCCACCAGCGTGCCGGCTGAAAAACACCGAGGGAGCTGAACTCTGTCCTGTCTTCTCGTTCCCAGTCAGCAGCTGCTCTGAGTAGGGCAACGTGGGAACGTGGGACTTACTGTTTCTTTAAAAGAATCTTAGCCTGAAAAAGATAAGGAACTACTGGCTCACAAACTGAAGGCGGCACAACACTGTCAACCGGCGTGATGTGGAGAAAGAACTCGGTGGGTAAAGGGAACGAAGGCGGTGGAACAGGCCTATGTGGAAGGCTCTGGGCTGAGACTCTCCCATTTTCTCAACTCTGTGTGTTCCCTTGTCAAAAAAGAGAAAAGGATAGTTTTTTCTCATCTAGGATGGTTGTTCGTGAACGTATCATATTTAAAAACGGAAAGATCGTGAATTATCCTAGATCATGATGTTATCTTAGGGCATTAAGAAATATTGGCAATATTTTGACATTACGTAGGCTTCTGAAAAATTATACCGCAGTAAATGAGGAAATAAATATATTACCTTTTAACTAACGTGACCTAAAATATTACCTTTTAAGATTTAATTTTTTTAGTGTTTATTTTTGAGAGAGAGAAAGAGTGTGCACGTGCACAAGTGAGGGAGGGGCGGAGAGAGAGGGGGACACAGAATCCGAAGCAGGCTCCAGGCTCCGAGCTGTCAGCACAGAGCCCGACGCGGGGCTCGAACTCACGAGCCATGAGATCGTGACCTGAGCCGAAGTCGGACGCTCAACAGACGGAGCCACCTAAGAGCCCCCACCTTTTAACTTTTGTAACAATAACTCCCAGGGTAAGTCTAGACTCCGTATCAGTTTCCGTGGCACATACCTGCTTATAGCGAAGGGTTCGTCTTTCCAAGGTGTTTCGGACAAAGGGGGACTTCCGGGGCAGGGTCGAACTGTCGCTGTCACTCCGATAAAGCTGTGCCAAAAAGAAATGATGTTCAGAAACACTTTCGCAGAAATTCGATATTCATTCTCTCGGTGTACCCTGAACTGATCTCATTTCTCCTCACAGGTACCCGAACGCGCTCACGGCTACGGGGGCTTTTTAGCGAGACTTGCGGGTTCGGTGAAGACAAAACGACACAGGAGTTTCGAGTCAAACTAAGACAAGCGAAAACAAACTGAATACGCAAACCAACCCCCTGTCCTCCTTCATGTGCCACATCAACGAAACCACGCGAAGTTTCCAAGGTGGTAGAGTCCACAAGATTTCGGTCTCATTGATACCAACTGTGACGTGACGTCCTGTGTGACGCTCAGGAAGCCAGCACGGACTTCAGCGCCTTTGACTTTTTATCAGGCGTTCTCATTTGCTCTGTTTCCGGCTTTGGCAAGAGCTGGGAAAAAACGGCTTTCCGAGAGACTCATTCCTGGTAGTAGGACGAGCCAGCAGCCCTAACACCCGCTCTGCCAGGGAAAAGGTCTGCTTTTAAGAAGCAAAAGAAAGAACGCCTTCTTTATGGGAGCCAAGACATCTGATGGCGGGTTCGCGCTTCAGGATCCGTGTGTATCTGTGCGAAAGCCAAAGTCCTTGCCTTCGCGGCCTCATCTTCCATGCCAATTGACCCAGAAGACTCAGGAAATGCTGTGGCACACCAGTGTACGTGCCTCCCCGCCCCATCATCACAAACATACAAAAACAAAGAGACCTCTAAAAGCATCACTTGTAAATGCACGCTTTCATGCAGGGCGCAGAACACGGCACCAGAGTTGGAAACCTCTCTCAGGGGAAGCAAAGACTTCCTCCTTTACCTCCCTGCCCTGCTCACTGAGCAGACCCGAACCCACTCTGCAGTGGTTCGGCCTAAGGTGAGGAAGGGACGTGAGGGTAGCCTTCTGTTTCGTGCCTCCACGTGTCTGGTTAAGCATCAGCCCCCACGGGGCTGCGGCCTGATGGGGCGGGAGTGTCCGGGCCTGACCCTGCGCGACCCAGGGCAGCCGCGGTCGGACGCCTCGCTTCTGTGGGGAGACGCACAGCAGGTCTGGCAAATGGCACAGGAGCAGCTTGGGCCACGTGGCCCCAACCCCCATAGGATAAAGGATTAACTTTTCCCCAAGAAAGGTTTGGTCCTTGCCTAGCTCCCGGGAAGTGACCCGTGAAGCCCTGGAATGTCTTGCCTAAGCATCCCTGTTTACCTGGGGACCTCGGGCCAAACCACACAGGCTCTGCTGACAATGTGATTTATAGTGGGGGCCTTAGGCCATCAGCTTGACCTCCGGAGGGGCTGGAGACTAAGGTCAGCCATGCAGGCCATCAGCTCTGCCTACGTGACCAGCCCCCCACAAACCCCTGGTTGGCAGTACTCCATGCCTGCGGCCTCTCCCGGCAGTGACCAGTGCCAAGAGCCATCCAAGCAACTGGAAGAGAACTGGGAGCTTGCACCAGGTGTCTCCTGAACGCTGCCCTATGCGCCTCTTCCCCCTGCCGACCTTGGTCTCTATGCTTTCATTGTAATAAACCACAATCACGTGTGTAACGGCTTTGCCGAGTTCGGAGTCCTAGCAAGTTCCTGAACCTTAGCATGGGCTCGGGGACCCCTGGACCACGCTCCCAGGCCTGAGCCTGATTCTCTCGTATGACTGAACTTTGCTTTTGCCCAAATGGAGCCAGCTCCTTGGCGGTCCCCTGCAACCAAAGGAGCTTTACCTCCACGAGCCCAATTCAGAGGTGGGAAGGGTCCAAGTTCTCCTCAACCCAAACAGCTGCATCAGGCCACTGTGTCATGACTATTTACCCTTCAAATTCCCTTCTCTTTCCTATTCCGTGCTGTTACTGTCACACCGCCACTGTTCGCCAACCCCCAACACGCTGTCCTATCTTCAAGGACCACAGCGGATTGGCTCTCCCCCTCTACCTACCTCGGGGCTCTCCATATCAGAATCATATGTGGGCTTCCCCAAGCCTGATGCCCAGGCCCCACCATGGCCAATGATGAATCTTGGGAACCCGGGCACTAGCATTTTGTGAAGCCCTCCCACCTGCCCAACACCTCCACCCCCCACCATTGCCAACATGACTTGACCGCACGGCCAGCCAAGGTTCAGAAGTACCCAGCATCTCCCGCCATCACCCTCGGGGGGAGAATTTACATGCTGGGGGGGTCAGAACCCTGCCTCAGTGTCCAGAGTCTTCAACGTTGCCATCCTCCCTGGGACCCCGCTACAGCTACACTTTAAGACCTCCAACCACTCAGTGGCCCGACTTCCCAATCTCAATCCAATTCAGGATACTCCCTGTTCCAACCTGTCATTCCTTAGGCCGATGTAGAACTGATCGGCCCTGCTTCCCGGGTACCACGAGCTGGTGTGCATACAGACTGAAAATCTGAGGAGGAATGTATTAGAATCTCGAACGGATGCAGAGTCACATACGCATGGGTGAGGGGAGACGAAGCCACAATACTAATTTTCCATCCATACACGCGTGGTGCTCATCACTGGTATGCGTGGGAACACGTGTGTCTTTTAGCATAAACAGTGAAAATAACACACGACAAAGGGGGTGGGGGGGAGAAAACAGTCCAGACAGGTGGCAACGGAATTTCAACTTACTCTGCAAACATACTGGCTTCGTGCTCCGGGGGAGAAGGTCTGCGAACGGACAATTGTGCTACTCCGGACAAAAGGCGACCCCCGGGCCCTGCGGCCGGGCCTCTCCTTCGGGAGACTCGCGACTTCTTCTGGGAAGACATCTTCTGTGTTGGTTTCTTTATCAACCTAGACAGTAGCTCATCGTTACCATGACTTTTTCTAGAACACGAACAATAAGCTTCACATGAACCGTCCCGGCCTTCTGCCTTTGGAGTTCTAACTGGCATTTGATACTTACGTCCAAAACAACTTCTGCTAATTTCTCCCCCTAATACACACCTCTCCACCTCCTCCGAGAACCCCTACCTTCTGATGGTTCATGCAAAAAACAAAACAAAAAACAAAACAAAAAAAAAAACCCCAACTTCCTGTCATCCTGGACTCTGCTCTCTTTCGTACACACCATATCTGGTCCAAGATCAAATCCTACTGGCTCCAGGTTTACGAGGAAGCGTGTTTTGACCGCTTGTCATCAACCTTCCATTTGGGTCACCAGCATCTCGCGCCCGATCAACACAGTGGGTTTCTCACCGGTCTCCCCCTCTTCCAGATCTCCCTCCCCTCCCCCATCTCTTCTCAACACAGTCACCAGGGAGACGCCGGTGAGGCCGAAGTTAGATCTGGCAATTCCCATCCTAGCCACATGCTCAAGTGAACTGAAAACAGGTGTTCAAACAACTACTTGTACACGAACATTCAAAGCCGCGTTATCCAAACAGCCAAAGGTGAAAACAGCCCACCTGTCCATGCACGGAGGGGCGTTCCCAGAATGGGCAAGTTCCCGGGCAGGAAGTAGACTGCTGGCGGCCAGGGGCTGGGGAGGGGGGCTGGCAAGTGAGTCTCATAGGCACACGGTTTTACTTTGGGGTGATGGAAACGTTCTGGAACTAGGCAGAGTGGTAGTTGCCTGCACTGCCGACATACTAAATGCCCCTGAACCGTTCGCTTTGAAATAGTTCATTTTCTGTCAATTACATGTCAAGAAATTATTTTATTCCATTTATTATTTACTTATTTATTTTGAGAGGGAGAGCGAGAGAGCGCGCATGAGTTGCGGAGGGGCAGAGAGACAGAGAGAGAGAGAATCATGGGGCTCGAACTCACAAACCGTGAGATCATGAGCCGAGCCAAAATCGGGAGTCGGAAACTTAACCCACTGAGCCACCCGGGTGCCCCCCCAAATTATTTCAGACAAAGAAAAATCAACGAGAAACCTTACGTCAGATCAGGTCAATCCTGGGCCCCAAACCACCCACCACTTTCCCAATCATCTCAGAGGAAAGGGAGGGTCCCGGGTGGGCCCTGTGTGATCCGGTCCTTCTACTTTTCTCTGTCCTCGGCTCTGACGACCCCCTGCCCCACACCGGCCTCACTCCTGTTTTCTCAGCCCCCCACCCCCGCCCGTGGGCCTGCACGTGCAGCTCCCTGTACCCGAATGCCGTTCCCCGGCCCCGCACACGGCTCCGGAGACTCCTTTCTCAAGGCCTCCGCTCAAAAACTCCCTTCTCGGTGAGGCTTCCGTGACCTTTCATTCTTTTTTATTGTGAAAACCACATTAAAATCTACCACCTGAACCATTTTTCAGCGCACAGAGCAACAGTGTTAAATATAGTCGCACTGTTGCGACACGGGGCTCTAGAACTTTTTCATCTTCCCAGACTGCCACTGTCCCCATTAAACGACAACTCCCCATCCTCCCGCCCCCTAGCCCCTGGCCACCACCTCCGTGCTTCCTGTCCGTAGGAATCTGACCCCTCTGGGGACCTCCTGTACGTGCGATCATTCGGTGTTCGCCCTCCCGTGGCTGCCTGATTTCACTTAGCGCGACGTCTTTGGGGTTCGCCTCTGTGGCAGCGTGGAAGGATCTCCTTCCTTTCTGAGGCTGAATGACATCCCGCTGGGTGGCTATGCGGCGTTCGCCTTATCCACCCACCTGCCGGTGGACGCCGGGGTGACTTCTACCTGTAGGCTACCACGAATAACACTGTTAGGAACCCGGCCGTGCCAGTATCTCCTGCAGGCCCCAGTGTCTGGATACACATCCAGAAACGGCACCGCTGGATCATACGGCAGCTCTGTTAAGCTTCTCAGGAAGTTCTGTATTGTTACACCCGTAGAGGCTGCACCGTTTCACAATCCCGACCTTTCTGAGATGTAAACGCAAATCCCTGAGATACACTCGCAGCCCCCGTGACTCTCTCAAGCGGCGAGCACCCTCGTACTGTACGGAGTTACCCTGCTGCCCGCCTCCCCCTCGAGGCACTATTTCCTCCACGGCCGCGTGTGCAACGCCTCGCGCCTCCCCGCGTGCACGTGGAGAGACAGTGCAAACGCGGTGAGGGACGGGCAGCTGGGGACCCCGGGTGCGAGGCAGGTGGGCGTTCGTTCTACTATCCCGGCAAGTCGTCTGTAGATGTGAAGTATTTCAAAATGCAAATCGGGGCCTGGGGATGACGACAACCCACCAAACCAGCCCGCCACGGCCCCCTCCCCGTTTGAGCCGAAGCTTTCAAAGGTCTTGAGGAGCTGCCCGATGGCCATTACTGGCAGCCTAGCCCGAGGCCACCCGGTTGGGCCGCGCCTGGGGAAACTGAGGCGGGCGGGTTCCACTTCTCTCAGCACTTGTGCTGTGGGGGAAGAGCGGGGGCCACGCTGATAAAAAGCTTCGGGGAGTTGAACCGTTTGGGAACAAAGTCTCGACCGAGCGCTGATGCGGTGTCTCCCCACCTCTCCGGCTTCCTCAGACACACATCACCGCAAGCGACCAAGATTTCTGCACTGAAGATACGGCCGCGAGCACAGCTAAGATCGGGTGAACAGAAGGGGCAAAGGGACACTTCACAGTTCGTCACGTCACCGACGGAGAAAAAAGACCATGAGTGTCCAAAACCCCGGGGACTCACAAAACATCCTGAGCCCCGAAGATGGGAACGGGTCATCGCCCCACAGCACGGAGGGGTACAAACCTACCAGGTTTCGCCGTAGCCGTCCTTTCATTTTACTTGAGAGCTGACGGTACCCGCTGGGCCCATGTGACTCTGTTTCCAGATCTAGGCCCTCATTTCTCTCCCTCGGCTCCCAGTGAAATACCACCTTGGCCGTGG